TCTTTTGTTTATTTTTTAAAAATAATACTATAAATGAACACATAAATTATTTTCAAATCATTAATTAAAAAAAAAAAAACCCCAAGAAAGTCCTACTCAAAGTTAAGAAAGGAATGTTATCTGATCTCCTACGTTTGTGCGTATGGCTTGACATATAAAAAATGAAATATTAAAGTCGTTAATATGTTTATTTCAATTGAATATTAAATACTTTGGAACCCAAAGCTTTAAGTTTAAGCATCTAGAACAACTAGGCTTTTTAATTTTTCATTTGCAATGCTTCCAGCCAAGTCTTTTGTACATGTATCCAGTTGAAGCGATGTGAACCACCACCCTCCTAGAATCCACAAATAAATCACCCTCTTGAAAATTAGATCTTTTTAAAACTGCATTTATTAGTCTAATTTTAGGCTTCTGCAAATTAAAAAAAAAAAAAAAAACCGAGAAAAACAAACATGCAATCAAATTTTTAACTAGTACCTTTTGAAAATGTGCTTTTATTGTTCACAACTTTCCTAATTCTTATTGAAACATTTTCTAATTATCTTTCAAGTAACTTTACCGGGGAAAGTGGAAAACTTTTCCCTGGTGGATCAGGGTTATCATGTTTGATGTAACTAAAGAACGGGATTGTATGAGACATAGGAATGGATGCAAATGGGACCCTGGCTCCAAGTAAAAGGAAGAAATTACATTGGTATGAAATCAAGAAATTTATGATCAAGATGAAAAAGGCAAAATCATGAAATTAGATGGAAAAGGTCAAAAGATAATTAAGCGATTGCCGGCTAAAGGCTAAGTGGGAATCCAAAAGGCCGAAGCAATTTTCCTTTCTACAAATGTAATGCAGGTTTCTGTTCCTTTCCTCGTGCGTGCTCGCTCTAATAATTCAAGGCTTGAATCTTTGCAAATCGTTGTAAAAAATAAAACTGCGTGTTGACTAATTTTAGGCACATATCAATCAACACTATAAATTTTATTTTCCAGGCGCAAAATATATTAAAGTTAAAAAAAAAAAATTATTTGTATTTAAATAATTTTTTATTTATCAATTAATTTTA